AGTGTTTGTCGTTCAGATATGTTCTTATGTCAGATAGTTAAAAGAAAAAAACATGTCACGATATTTCAACACAGCATCCTTCCGACCCGGTCTGTGGGGAGGTGTCCACCCTGAGAAGTTTGAAGAGTTGGCTTGAGGATGACCATGAATCACCATCCCGCTCTTAGGGCGGATTTTGTTTTTACAGGTTGGATCTCTGGGTGAAAAAACAACTTCGCACACTATGGTTTCATTGAGTTCACTCAAAACTTTTGCAGGAACTTGAACAAACTTGCACGATGGCTCGACGGTTTTCCTTCGGACCTCATGGTCCTGTAAATATCTTGTGGATCCACTGCGCTTTGCCGTGCCGCACATAACCGCTGTGCCATGGACAAGACATGGTATATGCATGTATATGCCGGATCTATATGGGCTATTCTCATCCCAGCATCACTAGCGATTCGAAAAAAAAAAGGTATATATTTACCTTCATTCATGGGGATGACCATTGTGAACATATACTTTGATCGTGAAAATACCCAAAATCACTGTGATCATCTTCGCTATCAACATGGCCATAAAATGCTACCCTCTGGTTATTTGCCCATTTACAGATGATTTGTCCATTATATAAAACCTCTATTTATAAGGGATCTTCCATGGCTATGTTAAATAACCAGATGGTAGAACATCTATGGCACATATATCTAGCCCATATCTCAAACCTGTACGGATTTGTCTGCGAATAGCTTAGCTCAAAGCTGATGGTTTATCATGGTAATATGGTAGTGACATTGGATTATTCTGGGAATAAACAATTTCAGATACATCCATGGTCCATAAATGTCCATAACATATATTGTTGATCTTAAATTACAATATATCATATCATGTCATGTAATGTAATGTCATGTCATATCATGTCATATCATATACTCTCTGGTAATCTAACATAGCTATTGAAAATGACCATAGACATAGTGGATTTTCCCATTAATCATGGTGGATCTTTCCATAGCAAACTGTTAAATTACCAGAGGGTAATATTGGTTAATGGATGTTAATAGTAGTTAATAATGGTTAACAATGGTTAATAATGGTTAATATTGCTGTGTTAAATTACCAGAGGGTAATTCTGGGTATACATACACCATTTTCAGACACATCCTTAGGGCCTTTTGGGAATCCCACATTTTCCGTCGTCGCTCCTGTCGTTGCAAGTCGCTGGCGAGGCGCTCCACGCGCGCCGCGACGGCGGCCTTGGTGAAGTTGTCCAACTGCCCAAACTTCGGCATGATGGAAATCCGAGAATAGCAGTTGTTGCGGAAAATCAGCATGTACCCTCTGGTAAACTAACATAGCTATTGAAAATGGCCATTTATAGTGAGTTTTCCCATCAAAAATGGTGATTTTCCATAGCTACGTTAAATTACCAGAGGGTAGTATCCATGTAATATCCCATCATGTATATAAATGTATTTAAATCCCATGTATATCCATGTATATATATATATATATCCCATAAATCCATGTGATATCATGTATATAATACAGTGATGATATTATAATGTTGAATATCCCCAAGATCACCTTTTTGTTGCATCTAAATGTATACCACAAACGGATGGGAATGTGTTGAACTGCGGCAACATGCGGACACATTTGTTTATTTTGGTTTGCTCAAAAACTGGGCCGTCTGTTCACATCTTAAAATAGCTGGGATTCATCCCCAAAAATTATAGAATCCATAAACTCCCCTCAAGTTGCTGCATAAACATGGCTCAGCATTTTTTCTATTCTTTCACAGGTTTCAATCCATCCCCATACCTTGCTGGAGCACAAACAGCAAAGGCGGGAGGCACTGAGGCTAGGACTTCTTGGTCAGACAAGGCCTTGCCTCAGAGGTTCTGGGAAGGATGGAGTACCCCCTGGTTATTTGACGCTTTGGACCTGGAAAGTCACCATGTTAATAGGTAAATCACCATGAATCATCTATAAATGGGTCATTTTCCATAGCTATGTTGAATAATCAGAAGGTACATCATGGAAAATCATGTTGTACCAATGAAATGGGATTCCACACAAAATCCAAACTGAACAAACACACCCCTTCCCAGTTGAGAAAAGAACAAACACACAAGTTTCGCTTAGTTTTCCCACTTAGTGCTGGTAATTAAATATTTATATAATATACCCTCCAGTAAATTAACATAGACCCTGGTAGATAGGGGTTGGAAGATTAGTTTCCTCTAAAAATTGGTGATTTTCAGGATCTATGTTTATTTACCAGAGGGTATGACAATCTGACAATCCTCTTTCGATAGTTCCATTGCCATGTTCAATTGATGAGGGTGGCCTGGCCTGGCATTTTTCCTCCCTGTTGACATACCAATATTTCATCACTTATGGCATGATACAATAGCCACAATTCGAAGAATATGCGACTATAACCCAACTATAGTTGCTATAAATACAAGTCATAGTTTCTACAGTATATAACTATTGTCTAACTACTACAAGCCACTATGTAACCACTACAAAACCACAATTGAACCACCAAAATATAACCACTATGTAACCACCATGATATATTCACATCATACATATCTATTCAGAAATCACTATACATATATATATATATACACACACTTGAATAAGCCCTAAATATCCATTGTATTTAACTCTATTTTTTTTGTGCCTTTCTCCAACCTCTATAGGACCGTGGTATATTCTAGTGATTTCTAGTGTATACATCATGCTTCTTGGTTAAACATTCATTAAATATCCTTGGAAATCATGAAATATCCTATGTTATTTAACCTCTATTATTAAACCATATTAAACCATATCAAACCTCTATAGTCTATTATCATTAAATATCCTATATTACCATCTGGTAATTTAACATAGCTATTGAAAATCACCATTTTCAATGGGAAAATCCACTATAAATGGCCATTTTCAATAGCTATGTTAGTTTACCAGAGGGTAAACCATATGAAACCTCTATATAACCAGCCCCAAACGGATCGTGGTCGCTGAGTCTCGACCCCCCAGGAAACCCAGGATCCGCACGCAGCGCTTTCAGCTCGCTCCGCGGCTCCGCCAAGGCGGTGCTCAAGGCGCTGTCGGCCGCCTGGGGGTGGATGGGGTCGAAACCGGGACATGAAAAATATGGGATTTTAATGGGATTTAACCCCATAGGATCCATGTATGGTATATATGCTAACATTTGGGGTATATTGATGGTAAATGTTACCGTATATAGCATACATGGATCCTATGGGAACTATGAACTATAATATGAACTAATTATATATAATACGGGATTTTAATGGGATTTAAATAACCATGAACTGGATTTTAATGGGATTTAACTGTGTAACTGTGACCTAATTAATGGGAATGGGATTGAATGGGATGTAGTGAAATCTTGACTGGGATTGATCGTCCAGTTGCGACGCTGCATGGGGGCTGGTCCTGAAAATGGGAAACACCAAAACAAGTTGTGTATTCTAATGGTGATGATCTTATCCCACATGTTTCCCATGTTATTCCCTGTTTTTTTTTATTTAATGGGATTCTAATGGTTCATCATCATGTTTCCCATGAACATGATGTATCTGGGGTGGCATCGCCATGGGGCAACCCCAATGTATTACAGTGCCTCTGTGCTGAGAAGGTGACCCCAAAAATGATATCGAAAGAAGCCTCAGAAGGTACAACGGTTGATCTATGAGGAACATTAAAAACAAAAAAAAACTGAGAATTTCCGAGATATTTCATAATTTGGTTATGCACCATCTATAGGATTGTTGGTGAATGTTGGTGAGCTGTTTCCAAAACCATGCAACATCATGCAACCCTGTAGTTCGCATCAAGATATCTGGTAAATTTCAAGGTATTGAGCTATAGCCATCCCATCAAATATTCCAATGACTCATTTTACCCCTTGTTTGTGGACTATCACAATTTATCACAGTTCTATGATGGATCAAAATGCATCATATTCAAATGACTTTCAGGCTAGCCCCATAAAACAGATCCCACAAAATATACCATAAATGCATATAAATGCCATCGGAGTCAAAAAGCGCCACTGCGGTGAACATTATTTGTTGGTATTCCATTGTTTTTCTATGTTTAAGAACTTTTTTTTCTAAAATATCCCCATCATTCCTATTCCATCCATTTCCATCCTATCCTCACATCGCCCAGCCGTCGCCTGCTTGTGGTTCTGCAAGCTCTGCATCCATTTCTCCGTCTGAAGCTGCGCTTCCTCGCCAATGAGCCGCCGGCACGCCTAAAATTTCGAGCGACGGCGCGTTGTCACGCCAGGGGCGCTGTCAAAAAGGGGGAAGTCCCTTGGAATTTCTGGATTTCGGATGACCATTTTTGTATATTTTTTGTTGTCTCTGCATCATTTGTTGGGGGCGTCATAGGCCATTTTCATCATCCCTGGTGTGATGGACCATTGGTTTACAATGAAAAGGGTGAGGAACCCAAAAAATAGATTTGCAAAAGGGAAAAACAGCTGGGAAAATGGCTGAAAGATGGAGGTACAAGCGCGCTACCACCTCTGATACAATATGAATTTCCGCCTTTCCGCCTCCTTTCGTTGGTTTACCATTCCACAATCCATTTCTGGCTTTAGGGATTGAACAAACTGAAATCATGTTGATATGTTCAGTTCTGGTTGACTTGTCGGTGGTTAGTTTGAGACCGCAACTATGTCGCTGGTCCTTTTGGGCACTCAATCATACGATGACGGGATAGCCATAGGAATGGAAGACCACTGACGAAGCAGTCGTTCTTTGGAAGTCATCCACTCTTCACTCCAAAGCCAGCAACCTTTAACTTCGCTTCGATATTGGAAAAAACATCATCCAGCTTCAACATCTTCAACCATTTGGTTTTCTCTGAATATAGGTTACCCCAAAATGTATAATGCTTAAATCATCTTAAATCACCACTATTTGAAACTATTTGCTGTTAATGGGAGTTACATCTCCCCACTTTCAGGTTCCAACCGTTTCAAGCCACGCCTCTTCGGCCTCTGGAGCCATATCTTGAGCGGCACCAGCCACCCGCACCAATTCATTCCGAACCTGGGAGAGTCGACGACATGGCCGTGTTTTGTGTGTTTTAATCATCAAAAGTTAGGATTCTACTAGAAACTTCGGAGACATACCACCTCTAAAAAAACAAATAAATGTCGTCCCACATTGAGAAACGGATTATCATAATAAATTTAATTTGTGCGATAATCCCCGCGATGCCAGCTACTAGTAAAGTAGGTTGATAACCCCTTGTAAGATCTTACAAGAACCCATCAACCATCATTTATCAATTATAAATGTTTCTATAAATTATGATATTATTTGATATTTACTATTGTGATCTATTGTGTATCATATATTCAAACCTTGTTTTGGTCAGTTGAAACAATCCAAAAACTCATTCTAGCACACCAGCCATAGCTGCGAGGACCGCTTCTTCAGAAAAGCGGCGCTGAGCAAGGACACGTCGTGTTGCTCCGCGGTGCGTAGCAAACGTTCCTTCACCAAGACAAGCACGAAAAAGGACTGGAGGCTTCTTTTAGCCTGTATAGATGGTAGTCTGTGATGTAAATGTATATTTATAATCATACAGTATGTGTATATACTGTATATTATATATATAATTATATATATAGAGTGCAAATGTATAGTAAATATATGTATATATATACTCTTTGATAAAACTGATATCTTGTTTGTCCTTACGTGATCGACTGTAGGCATAACATATTGATCATTGAAATGGCGTACGGCTGGTCACAATTTTACCCACAAATCAACCAGGACAGCACCCAGAGATTGATGAGACATGATGAGACCACTGGGTTTAACTAGCGGAAATGGTTGACATCTTTGGTCAAACCAGTCATGTTTGGAAAAAAAATCTGAGAAGATTCGCAAAATCCACGCTACGTTGATGCCTCTTCATTTTCAAAATCGGCACAAATGCAACGCTAGGTCCCGCTAGGTGTGATTTTGCCGTGCCTAAACGCCGCCGAACCTCAGGAGTTTCCGTCTCTAGGTTGGCTTCTTTCTTGGAAAACTCAAACGATTAGCCTCCGGGAATCAAACGTGGCAATTGAAAATCCTCAATGGTGATTGAATGGGAAATTCATCTCGAAATTGTGCATTTTCCATTGCTATGCTTGATTCCCGAAGTGTACTTTGTGTTGGGTGAACAGCTTGGCAAATTGAAACTCTAAAGCCAGATACTGGCCATTTCCAATCGGACAAGCAAATGGTCAAACCATGCTGAAACCGTGCACCCCAGTTGTGCCAAGAGGTAAATAGAATTGAATAACCATATCCCATAGGCCCATAGGATCCATGTATGCGATATATGGTGACATTTACCATCAATATACCCCAGTCATGTGAGCATTTTTCTACCAGCGCCGTTAGGATCCGTCATGGGTATGAAATATCCCAGTTATTCCCAGTTGTATATGAGAAACCCCCGCAGTTTTCCATCGTTTTTTCCGCTGACAAAAACTGATGCCGAAACGAGGCCGAAACTAAGCCTGGGATCCGGTGGGTCCTCGACTTCTGAGATGCGTTCACTCAAGGACTTCGAGGTATCCCGCAGATGCTCCCGACTTTTGCTCACCTCAGCCATCTCAGCCATGAGCCAAATAGCCTCAAAGGTGACCTAGTGACTTCCTAGTGGGATTCTGATTCTGAAGTTTTTGCCATAGGAAAACTATGAACCAATTTTCATAGAAATGGGCCTATTTTTGCTGCTCTCAAATATCAATGTCAGATCCAGTGGAAATGAGGAGATTGGACCAGAATAATCATCAATTATTTGCCTTGCATTTCTATGTATATATATATATATACACATGATATATGTATCCATGTGAGTGTGTGATATGTAGAGTTCTATAATACTACAGTAATTCAAGCTAGGTACGAGTTTCATAGTATCAGTATCAGTATCAGTATGTATGTATGTATGGTGATCCTGAAGTAGATAGAATTTAAAGTTGGAGGGTGCGGGGATTTATTTTAGATATTGGCCAAAATCAAAGATTGACATAGTTGGAATATTTAGACCAAATTAGACACCCGCGGAATATGTTGAAAACAGATACAGTAGTTTGATTGTGGTTCTGAGGGTAATATTCAGATATATGTATTATCAAAATCAACACTGGTCCACCTAATCACCATCGAACAGCAGTTTACTTCAGGATCACTGAACACATCTGAACACCATGAAAATTAAGATATGACTACAACATAGTACATATGTACAAATATGAAACCCTATATATATAATATATATATATACTGACCTGTTTTTATGATAGTTGAAAAGGTGGTACTGAATGTATAGGCATCGTTGGACAGAATGGTCACCCACCAGTATTCGCTACTGGTACGAATCGAGGCATTCTTGAAACGATCACTACAGGACTACAGGTGAATGGGGTACCCCTAGGACACTCTCTAGCATTCTGCAGGAAACTAGTTGAATAGTTGATACTGCTGGAGACGGAGGTAAGCCCAACTAACACCCAATGGAATTAGCACAAGTTGAAGATTGTCAAAAAAGGAAGACAAACAAAGCCCCAGTAGCTGCAGACAAATTACACTACCTTTCGTTGCATGATAGTGGGACACTGCCCCAGATGAATGGAGCCCAAAGTTTAAATGAATGGGATGGTTCAAAATTGAAATGCTTTGGAAGGTCTTTTGAACTCCCTTGTCAACGCTTTTTGTGGAGACCCAGCCAGTGAGAAAAAACACACACACTAGATGAAGCTACCAGTAGCGACTGCGCTTGTGGAGTTTTAGCGTCGCTGGACCACCCTAAATCGAGCGTTCTAACAGGGAGCGACCGTCACTCCCTGTTAGAACACTCACTACCGGTAGCGACTGCACTTGTGGAGTTTTGGAGTCGCTGGACCACCCTAAATCTTGCGTTCTTCTCAGTACAACCCCAGCGAAAACACAAGATGATCCTTGGGTCGATGATTCCGGTGGCACCCTTAGAACACTCACTACCGGTAGCGAGCGTTCTAACAGGGAGCGACCGTCACTCCCTGTTAGAACACTCACTACCGGTAGCGAGCGTTCTAGTGGAGTTTTTCCGTCGCTGGGGCACCATCAATCTTGCGTTCTTCTCACTAAGACCCCGGCGAAAACACAAGATCATCCCTGGGTCGATGTTTCCCAACCCTCCCTTAGAACACTCACTACCGGTAGCGAGCGTTCTAACAGGGAGCGACCGTCACTCCCTGTTAGAACACTATTTATCTTAATAGCACCATTTTTTTATACATTTTGAATCCCCAAATCACTACCGGTAGTGAGCGTTCTAAGGGCTCCACATTGACAGAATTCCCAATTCACTACCGGTAGTGAGCGTTCTAAGGGCTCCCCATTGACAGAATTCCCAATTCACTACCGGTAGCGAGCGTTCTAAGGGCTCCCCATTGACAAAATTCCCAATTCACTACCAGTAGCCAATTCACTACCGGTAGCGAGCGTTCTAAGGGTTTCCAATTAAGGGTTTCCAATTCACTACCGGTAGCGAGCGTTCTAAGGGTTCCCAATTCACTACCGCTAGCGAGCGTTCTAAGAGTTCCCAATTCACTACCGCTAGCGAGCGTTCTAAGGGTTCCCAATTCACTACCGGTAGCGAGCGTTCTAAGGGTTCCCAATTCACTATCGGTAGCGAGCGTTCTAAGAGTTCCCAATTCACGACCGGTAGCGAGCGTTCTAAGGGTTTCCATTCACTACCGGTAGCGAGCGTTCTAAGGATTCTCAATTCACTATCGGTAGCGCGTGTTTTAAGGGACCCAATTCACTACCGCTAGCGAGCGTTCTAAGATGTTCTAAGGGTGCCCAATTCAGACCAGTAGTGAATGTTGGTGGAGTAACCGTGGTGTCCAAAGATGCAAATATAACCCCCTGTCAATTAAGGGTTGGGGCTGTGCAACCATTTTGTAGTGAAGAAACGGCCTGCATAGCCTCAAGCTCTACTAAATGGATGTGCATGCATGATCGAATTTCACTACTAAATGTGGGCCCCTGGTTCAGCTGAAGCGCAAAATTTGGATATATTTTCAGAGTGTCTTAAGACGCCAACATGACTCGACCAAACACCCTGTTCCATTTAGTAGAGGTACTCATTTGAGCACAAGTTGCGGGACCAACATCACTCGACCAAAACCCCAAAGCCATTTAGTAGAGAAATAGACGGGGTCCATTTAGTAGAGAAAACAACATGAAACACATATGACTGATCCCATGACCATCCATTTAGATTTGGCATCGCCCCCAAAAAAGGCAACAAAAGAACCCAAGCACGAAAGGCAGCACCCGACGAGCAAGAAACACCCAAGCGAGGGATTTGGCATCGCCCCCCAAAAAAGGCCAAAAAAAACAAACACGAAAGGCAGCACCCGACGAGCAAGAAACACCCAAGCGAGGGATTTGGCATCGCCCCCAAAAAAGGCAAGGCAGCACTTGGCTAGACGGGGAAATCTTGACAGATTTTGGACATTTTGGGACTACAAAATGGTGTTCCATAGCACGTAAGGGATAATAGGGCACACAAGGATGCAACAGGGCTTTGTTTCAAACAATTCTAGATAGACTGATCCCATGACCATCCATTTAGTAAGCACCCGACGAGCAAGAAACACCCAAGCGAGGGATTTGGCATCGCCCCCAAAAAAGGCCAAAAAAGAACCCCAACACGAAAGGCAGCACCGACGAGCAAGAAACACCCAAGCGAGGGATTTGGCATCGCCCCCCAAAAAAGGCAAAAAAGAACCCAAGCACGAAAGGCAGCACCCGACGAGCAAGAAACACCCAAGCGAGGGATTTGGCATCGCCCCCAAAAAAGGCCAAAAAAGAACCCCAAGCACGAAAGGCAGCACCCGACGAGCAAGAAACACCCAAGCGAGGGATTTGGCATCGCCCCCAAAAAAGGCAACAAAAGAACCCAAGCACGAAAGGCAGCACCCGACGAGCAAGAAACACCCAAGCGAGGGATTTGGCATCGCCCCCCAAAAAAAGCAAAAAAAAAAACAAACACGAAAGGCAGCACCCGACGAGCAAGAAACACCCAAGCGAGGGATTTGGCATCGCCCCCAAAAAAGGCAAGGCAGCACTTGGCTAGACGGGGAAATCTTGCTGGAATTTGGACATTTTGGGACTACAAAATGGTGTTGCATAGCGCGTAAGGGATTATAGGGCACACAAGGATGCAACAGGGCTTTGTTTGAAACAGTTCTAGATAGACTGATCCCATGACCATCCATTTAGTAGAGGCAGCACTTGGCTAGACTGGAGGCGGCATGGCAGGATACCGCAAGGATGCTATCTTTGTCCAACTTCTGTTGTTTCATATCGCGGTATACCCGATCATGTTGATTTACTTCAACCCAGGAATATCTTTGATATTCATTGGCATTCTAGAATTTATATTTATTTTTCAAGCTTCTTATTTTTTTGAGCATCTATTATCATATACTATCTGGATTTACGTGATTCATCCTGATGGACATGGATTGGCCAAACGACTATCGGGGGCAACGGGATGGGAATCTCTACTAAATGGTTTTTCAGTTTTG